TCGGGTTTCGTGACCAATCTCCGGGCTCCGGGTCTTGTGAATTGTGTATCGGGTATTGAATGTGCTACGCGATCACATGTTTCTGATTCTTAGATTTCAAGAATTTGCACGCATTTTCTGTAATTAAATTTTTTTTATTTTTATTAAATATTGTTTTACTTAATGAGATTCGTAGAAATAAATAAAAATTGTTGGTGTTTTCTCTTTTTTTATAAATTACAAATAAAAATATTAAATGCATTTACATATTTCTACATGTTTTACTGGCTCTCTATAGACACAGTTCTTGAATACGACAAAAGTTATTAGCAATTTGTTTAGTCTAGTACAAGCTGCGGGAATAGTATACACAAATATTAAACAACATAATTTGTAACAAGTAGTATCAAAAACTCTTTCCAAAATAGAAATTCAAGACTAGACACAGACTTTATATGGGTCAAAATTTTTTCTGCACCAGATTATTTTAAAGAACTACCCAAAATTGTTGGCAGAGTTTTATCCATTCCCGTAAGTAATGCTTACGCAGAACAGATTTTCTCAATTATGGGAAACATTTGGTCCGATTTGAGTAACAGGTTGAGAGTCTAATTAGTCAAAGCAGAACTCTACAAACTAAACTATGATATGCCTTGCGCCGGAATTTCACAAATTCATAAACAATATGAGTATGCTTACAAAAGAAAGCCGTTTCAAATGAGAAATATGCTTGGAAGAAAAGTTACTTTTTAAAAATTAATATTACAGAAAAGTAATATAGGTATTCTATTTTTAATGTAATAATTTATTATTTGTTTTATAGATTGTTGACTATGGTAATGTAATTTATTTGATCGTTTCTAAACTAATAAATTAAAATTATGTTAAATAAAACATACCCCCCCCCGCTCATGAAAATCTCCGGGTGAGTATGTGTCAATAGGTGGCAACTCTAAGGGGGGGGGGGAATTAAAGAAAACATTTTGAGCCATTTTTGAGAAAATTCTGAAAATGCTAGGGTTTAATGTAAAGTATTCTAAAAATCTAAGTACCCTTCCACATTGAAAGGCCTCGACATCAGTCAGATCTTGAAATAACAAATTTGAGGAAAATCCTGCTTACCATTTAGCCGCTAGAGTTCACAGACAGACATAGTTTTGCCAACAATCGATTTTTCTTTTATCAACACATCAAATCTATTATAATATTTCAACAATCGACTATTCACCAAACGGCGATTCTGTCTACATAACGTGTTAGAGGAAGTAATTAACTGCGTAAAGGAACAATATATACCCACTTTTCTGTTACGAGGGCCCAGCAATGAGGTTTTCTGACAAAAAACCGACAGTTTTTCACTATTCTAATACTTTCTCTACAGCGAAAGCAGCAGAGGAGAAAGTAAAAGTAAGAACAATTCAATTTCGAAAGAGCAGTTAGTGCAATTCGCCTTGGACATCAGCTTAACAATATACTCTTTGATGCCAGTTATGCGCTGCTGTTCCTAAGGAGGGAAGCTTGATTGATTATTGTTTCCGGGAGCATCAACTGCTAAGGTCATTATTCTCGAAAGGGCAGTGCATGTATTATCGCAGAGATGGCTATACTATTCCCTGGCGACTTGCGGAATTTACCCAACCAAGCCTCAGCCGGCGCAAACTCGAAGCTCCTGACGGGTCTTCTGACGTGTGGTGCGATGCATGTGACGGGATAGGAGGAAGGAATCATCGAGCGCGGTCGTGGTCCGTTTGGCACGGTACTGTTTCGGCATTCGATTGGTGCTGATCGGTGAAACCATGAAAAACTACTGATCGGAGCAGTGGGTTGCTAGGCCTTTCCCTCAGACGGAGGCTGAAGTCAACTAGCAATCGGGACTCGAATCTTAGGACCCCTGCTCAAAGGCACTGCACTGAGCCACCTTACCCAGCGAGACAGAAGCAGATGTCACATACTTTCGAAAGTGTTTACTAATTTTCTATAGTAACGAATGCCATTCAGCATCTTTTTAATACGTTATAAATGACAATAAGTGAGAAAATAAATATTAAATGTGGACCGAATTAAAAACAATTCACAAGAAAATTTCAAGTCCGCTGGAGCTCCCCCCCCCC